TATAATAACTCAATAACTATTTGCTGTGGAGATGTGCATCAGAGCAGGTAAGTCTGCGCTGGGCAAGGGATCTGGAGTAAAAGAGACTGACCAAAAAGCTCTCTTTAGTGCTAGTTTGAAGCTAGCAACAGTGCCATGCTCCCACTGGGGAGCTAGCAGTTTGCGGGCAGGATCTTGAATCAGCGGCGGTGAAGCTGGCTTGTTTGCTGCTCAGTTTAACCCCCTGCCCTTAACGTTTGCACCTGCTAATAAGCAGTTCACACCTTCTAATAATCCATAAATAGAGTGAGGAAAACACAGCAAAGCAGGCGAGTAACCTTTGTTTCGGCTTGTTGAGAACAGGGAGGCTAACATGGTTTCCACCAGACTACAAGTTTATTCCAAGACAACTGTGGTGACCCGGACAGAGGGACTGCCCAAAAACGTGGATGTTCAGGTCTCTGGCTGCAGGGACTGCTTGAGCCTGTTGCTATCTGGGGAGGGTGGCAGGGATTCCACCTGCGTGTGGTGTGAGCAGGTGGATGAGTTGATCCAGCTGGTGGTTGAGCTCAAGGAAGAGGTGCAGAGACTTAGGATCATCAGGGAATGTGAGTGGGAGGTAGACTGGTGGAGTGACTTGCTGGCATGTCAGAGGAAAGGGTGCCAGGGAGACACCCTCACAAAAGTGGTGGACCCCCAGCCTCATCGGAGTAGGACAGACCTGACTGATGAGGAGGGTTGGATGAGAGTCCCTACTTGACGCCATGAGAACCCCCTCTGCCTGCCTACCCCACTTCCCCCGATCCCCCTTAGCAACAGGTTTCACATGCTGGAAATTGAAGGTGAGGTGAATGATGAGGTGTTGGAGGATCTGCCTAGGAGGGAGCCTAAGGCGAGGTGGCCACCCCCATGCCTCCAGACTGCCTCTGTCAGGAAAGAAAGAGGGGTGGTCATGGTGGGTGACTCCCTTCTCAGAGGAATGGAGGGCCCCATATGCAGACCAGACCCGAGCTGCCGAGAAGTGTGCTGCCTTCCTGGGGCCTGGATCAGGGACATAAGGAAAATACCAAAGCTGGTGAGGCTCGCTGATTACTTTCCGTTGCTCATAGTTCAGGTGGGCAGTGAGGAAATTGCTCAGACAAGCCTACGGACAACGAAAAGGGATTTCAGGGGTTTAGGGCACTTAGTTCAAGGTGCGGTAGCGCAAGTAATCTTTTGTTCTGTACTGTCAGGGGCAGTGTGGCACTCGGAGCGGGCATGGAAGGTGCAAGCAATGAATAACTGGCTCAGAGGCTGGTGCCGAGCCAGAAACTTTGGGTTCTTTGACCATGGGGTAGTTTACTTGGCCTCTGGCTTGCTGTCCAACCGTGGAACCCACCAGTCTCAAAGGGGGCAGCAAATCCTAGCTCAGGAGCTAGCGGGGCTCATTGATAGAGCTTTAAACTAATTATGATGGGGGAAGGGGACAGTACAGGCCTCACAAGAGATGAGCCTAAGAGAACGATGATTAAGCTGGGGGGGAGGCAAATGACTCGGCTGAAGTGCATCTATACCAATGCACGCAGCATGAGCAACAAGAAGGATGAGTTGGAAGTGATTGTGAGTCAGGTGAATTATGACCTTGCTATTACTGAAACATGGTGGGACCACTCCTATGACTGGAGTGCTGTGATAGATGGCTACGAGCTCTTCAGAAGGGATAGATGAGGAAAGAAGGGTGGTGATGTAGCCCTTTATATCAAAGACTGTTTTGATGTTGAAGAGCTTGGGGTTAGTAATGATAGAGTTGAGTGTCTATGGGTAAGGATCAGGGGGAAGGCCTGTAGTGGCAACATCTTGGTGGGGGTCTGCTATAGACGACCTAACCAGGATGAAGAGTTGGATGAAGCTTTCTATGAGCAGCTCGCAGAAGTCACGCGATTGCCAGCACTTGTTCTCATGGGAGACTTCAACTTCTCTGACATATGTTGGAAGTATAATACAGCACAGAGGAAGCAGTCCAAGAGGTTTTTAGAGTGCGTGGAGGATAGCTTCTTTATGCAACTGGTAGGAGAGCCTACCAGGCGTGGTGCCCTGCTAGACCTGATCTTCACTAACAGAGGACTGGTGGGAGAAGTGAAGGTTGGAGACCGTCTTGGGCAGAGCGACCATAGAACTGTAGAATTCTCTATTCTTGGAGGTGTCAAGAGAGTGACCAGCAAAACTACTTTCTTGAACTTCCAGAGGATAGACTTTCATCTGTTCAGGGCGCTTATAGCACGGGTCCCTTGGGAGTCGCTTCTTAAAGGGGTCCAGGAAGCTTGGATGCTCCTCAAGACGGAAATCTTAAAGGTGCAAAAACAGACTGTCCCTGAGTGCTGTAAGGCGAGCTGCAGGGGTAGACGGCCGGTGTGGATGAGCCGGGAACTATTGTTGAGACTCAGGGAGAAAAAGAGAGTCTATGTCCTCTGGAAGAAGGGACAGGCTAGTTGGGAAGATTACAAAGAAGTAGCTAAGGTATGCAGGGAGGGAAGTTAGGAAGGCAAAAGCCCAGCTTGAACTCAGATTGGCCACTGCAGTAAAAGACAATAAAAAATCCTTTTATAAATATATCAACGGCAAAAGAAGAACCAAGGATAATTTTCATCCTTTACTTGATGCAGCACGGAATGTGGCCACTGAGGACAAGGAGAAGGCTGAGGTCCTTAATGCCTTCCTTACATCTGCCTTTAATAGCCAGACCAATTATCCTCTGGGCATTTTATGCCCTGATCTGGAAATCTGGGACACTACTCAGAAACCACCCCCAGCAATTCAGGTGGAGACAGTCAGAGAGCTCCTCCTCCATCTGGACTGTCACAACTCCATGGGACCGGATGGCCTACACCCTCGGGTGTTGAGGGAGCTGGCGGGGGTGATTGCTGAGCCTCTCTTGACCATCTGTCAGCGCTCCTGGTTGTCTGGAGAGGTCCCAGAGGATTGGAGGCTTGCCAATGTGACTCCCATCTACAAGAAGGGTCGTAAGGAGGATCCAGGGAACTATAGGCCTGTCAGCCTGACCTCGGTTCTGGGGAAAGTAATGGAGCAAATCATCTTGGGTGAGATCGCACGGCATGTGCGTGGTGTCCAGGGGATCAGGCCGAGCCAGCACGGGTTCATGAAAGGCAGGTCATGCTTGACCAACCTCATCTCCTTCTACGACTGGGTGACCAGACTGGTAGATGAAGGAAAGGCTGTTGATGTAGTCTACCTAGACTTCACCAAAGCCTTTGACATGGTCTCTCACAGTGTTCCTCTGGGAAAACTGGCTGCCTGTGGCCTGGACAGGTACACACTCCTTTGGGTAAGAAACTGGCTGGAGGGCCGTGCTCAACAGGTGATGGTCAATGGAGTTAAGTCCAGCTGACGACCCATTTCCAGTGGTGTCCCCCAGGGGTTGGTACTGGGGCCTATCTTGTTTAATATCTTTATTGATGACCAGACGAGGGGATTGAGTGTACCGTCAGCAAGTTTGCAGATGACACCAAGTTGGGAGGTGGTGTTGATCTGCCTGAGGGCAGGGAGGCCCTTCAGAGGGATCTAGTGAAGCTGGATCGATGGGCTGAGATGAATGGAATGAGATTCAACAAGGCCAAGTGCTGGGTCCTGCATTTTGGCCGCAACAACACCATGCAGCGCGGTAGGCTTGGGGACGAGTGGCTGGATGATTGGAAGAGGAAAGGGACCTGGGGGTGTTGGTTGATGCTTGGCTGAACATGAGCTGACAGTATGCCCAGATGGCCAAAAGGGCCAGTGCCATCCTGGCCTGCATTAGAAATAGTGTGGCCAGCAGGAGCAGGGAGGTGATCATCCCCCTGTACTCAGCACTGCTGAGGCTGCACCTCGAATATTGTGTTCAGTTTTGGGCCCCTCACTACAAAAAAGACACTGAGGCCCTGGAGCGTGTCCAGAGAAGGGCAATGAAACTGGTGAGGGGTCTGGAGCACAAGTCCTATGAGGAGTGGCTGAGGGAGCTGGGATTGTTTAGTCTGGAGAAGAGGGGGCTCAGGAGAGACCTTATTGCACTCTATAACTTCCTAAAGGGAGGTTGTGGTGAGGAGGGGTTTGGCCTCTTCTCCCAGACAACGAACAGGACCCGGGGAAATGGCTGCAAGTTGTATCAGAAGAGGTTTAGGTTAGACTTAAGGAAGAACTTTTTCTCTCAGAGGGTGGTCAGACACTGGAATGGCTTGCCAAGGGAGGTGGTGGAGTCGCCATCTCTGGCAGTGTTCAAGAGGTGTCTGGACGAGGAGCTGCGAGATATGGTTTAGTAGCTTGTGGTAGCAGTGTCAGTGTGAAGATGGTTGGACTAGATGATCTTACAGGTTGTTTCCAGCCTTGTGATTCTATGATTCTATGATCTCCTAGACAAGTCAGTATTATCACAAGAAATAGGAAGCAAGCTTTGAGGCAAAAAACAAAGAAGGATTCTCACAACCCTGGGCTGCATTAAAAAACAGGTGGCCAGCAGGGAGAGGGAGGTGATTGTCCCCCACTTATACTCAGCTCTTGTGAAGCCCCATGTGGAGTACTGTGTCCAGACCTGGGTTCCCCAGTGCAGGAAGGATGTGGAGCTCTTGGAGCGGGTCCAGAGGAGGGCCACTAAGATGATCAGAAGGCTGGAGCACCTTTCATATGAGGAAAGGTTGAGGGAACTGGGTTTGTTTAACTTTGAGAGGAGAAGGCTCTGGGGGGACCTCATTTGTGGCCTTCCAGTACTTGAAGGGAGCTTATCAACAGGAGAGGGAATGACTGTTTACATGGGTAGATAGTGACAGGATAAGGGGGAATGGTTTTAAACTGAGACAGGGGAGGTTCAGGCTAGATATTAGGAGGAAGTTTTTTACCCAGAGGGTGGTGATGCACTGGAACGGGTTGCCCAAGGAGGTTGTGGATGCCCCATCCCTGAAGGCATTCAAGGCTGGGCTGGATGTGGCTCTGGGCAGCCTGGTCTAGTGGTTGTTGGCCCTGCCCATAGCAGGGGGGTTGAAACCAGATGATCATTCCGGTCCTTTTTAACACAGGCCATTCTATGATATAATTTTATGATATTAAGAAAATGTTATTTCTTGAGAGACTGATGAAGCACTTGAACAGGCTCCCCAGGGAAGTTTTCATGGCCCCAAGACTATCAATGATCAAGACGTGTTTGACAGTGCTCTTAGGTATAGATTTAGCTTGTTCTGTGCAGATAGATGAACTCAATGGTCCTTCTGAGCTTCTTCCAACTTCTATCATTCTATTGAAGATATTACTGTTTCTGTATTATCTATTTTTTTTTTGCTATCCACGACAGTTACGAGAACATTAATATGAAGCCTACAACCTTAATAATAGTAATGATAAAATTAAGTTTTGGAAAACAGTTTGAAAAATAGTATCAGTGTAATTATAGGTTTGCATTAACAACCTTTGTAAAACAGCCTGTTTTAAAAAACTTCTCACAATGACGTTTGGAGGACTGAAGCACTTCTCCTATGAAAGAAGCTGAGAGAGCTGAGGCTGTTCAGCCTGGAGAAGAGAAGGCTCCGGGGAGATGTTATACTGGCCCTCCAGTACCAAAAAGAGTAGAATATATTCAGGTAATGATATTAAGGGAAAAAAAAAATGTACCTCAGAAACACCAATGTATTGTGTTAGTACATGAAAACACATCACAAATTCTTATTCAGGAGTCTAACTTCAATAACATAGTGTCGCGGTTTAACCTGGCAGGTGGCTAAGCACTACACAGGCCATTGCTCACTCCCACCCTTCCAAGTGGGATGGGGGAGAGAATCTGGAAATACAAGTGGACTCAGGGGTTGAGATAAAACTATTTACTAAGACAGAGAAAAGGAGAAGGGCAATAGTAATGATGTGTGTGTGTGTGTGTGTGTGTGTGTGTGTGTGTATGTATTTATGTGAATATATATGACAAGAGATGCACAAGCAATTGCTAACCACACACATCAATACCCAGCTAGTCCTCTAAGCAATGGAAGAGAGGGAGATTAACTCCCAACACCTTCAGAACTCCTTCCATATGATGTCATATGGAATGGCATATCCCTGTGGCCATTTTGGGTCAGCTGTCCTAATTCTGTTCCCTCTCAGCTCCCTGGCCCCTTTGCTTAAAAATGGCCTTGGCTCTGCACTGTGCAACTTGGAGAGGGTACAAAGAAGTTGGTAGGATGTGCAGGGAGAAAATTAGAAAGGCAAAAGCCCAGCTTGAACTGAACTTAGCTGTTGGAGTAAAAGGGAACAAAAAATTCTTTTACAGAGTTATTAACAGTAAGAGGAGGACCAAGGGGAACCTCCATTATTTACTGGATGCATCTGGAAATGTGACCACTGAGGATAAGGAAAAGGCTGAGGTTCTCAATGTCTTATTTACATCTGTCCTTAAAAGTCAAGCCAGTTATCATCAGGGTACTCTACTCTTTGACCTGGAAGTCTCAGATGGGGAGAGGAATAAATCCCCCATGATTCAGGAGGAAACAGTCAGAGGCCTACTATTCCATGTGAACTGCCACAAGTCCATGGGTCTGGATGAGATCCATCCAAGAGTGCTGAAGGAACTGGTGGAGATGATAGCCAAGCCACTTTCCATCATCTATCAGCATTCCTGGTCAGCTGGGGAGGTCCCAGAAGACGGGAGACTTGCCGATGTGACTCTTCTACAAGAAGGATTGTAAGGATGATCTGGGGTCCTACAGCTTGTCAGCCTGATCTCGGTGCCAGGAATGGTTATGGAGCAGATCATCTTGAGTGAGATTACACAGTATGTGTGAGGCAACCAGGGGATCAAGCCCAGCCGGCATGGATTTATGAAGGGTAGGGCCTGCTTGACCAATCTGATCTCTTTCTATAATGGAGTTACCCACCTGGATGGTGAGGGAAAAAGGCTGTTGATGTGATCTTAACTTCAGCAAAGCCTCCCACAGTGTCTGCCTCAATATTCTCCTGGAGAAGCTGCAGCCTGTGGCTTGGACAGGTATGCTGTGTTGGGTGAGGAGCTGGCTGGAGGGCTGGACCCAGTGAGTGGTAGTGAATGGAGTTAAATCCAGCTGGCAACTGGTCATGAGTGGTGTTCCCCAAGGGTATGGGCCTGTCCTCTTCAGTATCTTTATTGATGAACTGGATGAGGGCATTGAGTGCACCCTCAGTAAGTTTTCAGATGAAACCAGACTGCTAGGAAGTGTCGATCTGCTTGATGGTAACAGGGTCCTACAGAGGCATCTAGATAGCTAGGCTGAGGTGAATGGCGTGAGGTTCAACAAGTCCAAGTGCCCAGGTCCTGCACTTTGGCCATAACATCTTCAGGCAGTGTTAAAGGCTTGGGACAGAGTGGCTGGAAGATTGTGTGGAGGAAATGGACCTCGAGGATACTGATGGATGCTTGGCTGAACATGAGCCTGCAGTGTGGCTAAGGCCAATGGCATCAGAAACAGTGTTGCCAGCAGGAGCAGGGAAGTAATTGTCCCCCAGTACTCAGCGCTAGTGAGCCCGCACCTCAAGTACTGTGTTCAGGTTTGGGCCCCTTACTACAAGAAAGACATTGAGGCCCTGGAACGTGTCCAGAGAAGGGCATCAAAACTGGTGAGGAGTCTGGAGCACAGGTCTTATGAGGGGTGGCTGAGAGAGCTGGGATTGTTCAGTCTGGAGAAGAGGAGGCTCAGGGAAGACCTTATTGCTCTCTGTAACTACCTAACGGGAGGTTGTAGTGAGCTGGGGGTCGGCCTCTTCTCTTGTGTAACTAGTGATAGGACTGGAGGGAATGGCCGCAAGCTGTACCAGGGGAGATTCAGGCTTCACATTAGAAAATACTGGTTTTCTGGAAGAGTGGTCAGGCGGTGGAATGTCCTGTCCAGGGAGGTGGTGGAGTCACCAACCCTGGAGGTGTTCAAGGAATGTTGAGACGTTGTGTTGAGGGGCATGGTTTAGTGAGAACTATTGGTGATAGGTGGATGGTTGGACTGGATGATCTTGAAGGTCTTTTCCAGCCTTGATGATTCTATGATTCTGTGATCAGTTTGTTATCAACACTGCTTTTCTCCTGGAACCAAAACATAGTGTTGTACCAGACACTCTAAAGAAAACAATTCTAGCCCACATGAATCTAAGACACATAGTGCATAAAATTTTACTGCTATGCGAATACACTATTGTCAATGGTTTACGGGCTGGTTCGGCCGAGTTCTGTGACTAGAGGGATGGAGGGATTTCACAAAATCCACACCTCCGGAAAAGGGAAACGGGACCCCAAAATAATCAAAAACAGTGGCAACAATCTGAGGAGAAACAAATTTACTAAATATAATATTGGAATGCAAGATAACACACCATAATACAATGTAATTAGAATTGAAGCTAATAAATCAAATATAATGAGAGAGAGAATGTCCGAAAGGTGGATAGGCCTCACCATAATGCTGAGATGAGATGCACAGTCTGGTTGAGCAGCAGGGAGACGAGGAAGAGTGCAGCAGGTAACCTTGCCAGAAGTTCTATCTCCTCTCTGATTGCAAAGCCCCTGGGGAATGTAGTTGTTCTCTTCCGGACGGTACACGGAACTGGAGCATTAACACTTTAACTCCCAGTGCAGTACATGATGTTATGATGCGGAATACTGATAACCAAAAATCACAAAACCATGACAGCTACATGCACAGTAGATAAACTTTACACTATCAAGAGACTACTGCCTGCATTTTGATACTTATACCCACTACATCTGTTTACATGAAGTTCAATGAGTTGGACCTTTTTATCTAAACAAGGTTAGAATTTATTTTCTTTCAAATATTTACTTTCAAAAATGTAATATATCCTGTTAGACTAACTGTAGTATTGGAAAGATGTCCAGTCTGCAGCAGAGGAAGCTTACATCAAAACAAAATTTCTTCATTTGTGCAAAGTTAGTCCTGAAAACATATCACTGCATCCAATTTGTGAGATTTAAATGAAATTGACAGTGTGTGTAAAACAGACAGTAGCATACACAGTAGAACAGAATATTTTTTTTCCAGATGTCAGCTATGGCAGTCACAGAATCACAGAATCGTAGGGGTTGGAAGGGACCTCCAGAGATCAGCGAGTCCAACCCCCCTGCCAAAGCAGGATCCCTACACCAGGTCGCACAGGTAGGCGTCCAGGCGGGTCTTGAATATCTCCAGAGAAGGAGACTCCACAACCTCCCTGGGCAGCCTGTTCCAGTGCTCCGTCACCCTCACCGTAAAGAAGTTCTTGCGCACATTGGTGCGGAACTTCCTATGCTCCAGCTTCTGGCCATTTCCCTTTGTCCTGTCTCCGCACACTGCTGAAAAGAGTCTGGCCTCGCCACTTTGCCCCCCACACCTTAGACATTTATAGACCTGGATCAGGTCTCCTCTCAGTCTTCTCTTCTCAAGGCTAAACAGACCCAGATCACTCAGCCTTTTTTCATAGGGGAGATGCTCCAGGCCCTTCACCATCTTTGTGGCTCTCCGCTGGACTCTTTCCAAGAGATCCCTGTCTTTTGTACCGGGGAGCCCAGAACTGGACACAGTACTCCAGATGAGGCCTTACCAGGGCAGAGTAGAGGGGGAGGATCACCTCCCTCGACCTGCTGGCCACGCTCTTCTTAATGCACCCCAGAATGCCATTGGCCTTTTTGGCCACAAGGGCACACTGCTGGCTCATGGCCAACCTGTCATCCACCAGGACATCCAGTTCCCTCTCTGCAGAGCTCCTCTCCAGCAGGTCATCCCCCAACCTGTACCGGTGCATGCAATTAGTCCTCCCTAGGTGCAAGACTCTACACTTGCTTTTGTTAAACCTCATCTGGTTTCTTTCTGCCCAGCTCTCCAGCCTGTCCAGGTCTTGCTGAATGGCAGCACAGCCTTCACACGTGTCAGCCAATCCTCCCAACTTCATATCATCAGCAAACTTGCTGAGGGTGGCCACTATCCCCTCATCAAGGTCATTGATGAAGATGTTGAACAAGACCGGACCCAGCACCGACCCCTGGGGAACACTGCTAGTTACAGGTCTCCAACCACACTCTGCACCACCAATGACAACCCTCTGTGCTCTGCCAGTCAGCCAGTTCTCAACCCACCTCACTGTCCACTTATCTATCCCGCACCTCCTCAGCTTTGTTATAAGGATGTCGTGGGAGACAGTGTCAAATGCCTTGCTGAAATCAAGGTAGACTACATCCACTGCTCTCCCCCCATCCACCCAGCCAGTGACAACATCATAGAAGGCTACCAGGTTGGTCAAGCATGACCTCCCCCTGGTGAACCCGTGCTGACTACTCCTGATAACCTCCTTTTCTTCCAGTTGTCTGGAGATGGCATCCAGCACAATCTGTTCCATCACCTTTCCAGGGACAGAGGTGAGGCTGACTGGCCTGGATCTTCCTTCTTGCCCTTTTTGAAGACCGGAGTGACATTGGCTATCCTCCAGTCTTTAGGCACCTCCCCCATTCTCCAAGACCTCTCAAAAATGATAGAGAGCGGTTCAGCAATCACCTCTGCCAGCTCCCTCAGCATCTGTGGATTCACCCCATCGGGTCCCATGGATTGATGAACATTGGTGTTGCCTAGGCGCTCTTGGACCGCCTCTTCCCTGACTAAAGGGAAGTCTTCCATTCCCCAGACCTTCTCACTAACCACCATTCTCCCTAGTCTTCCTTTTACTGTTAACATACTTTAAAAAGCCTTTTTTATTATCCTTTACCACCTTTGCTAGATTCAATTCCAGGCGGCCTTTAGCCTTCCTCGTCGCATCCCTGCAGGCCCTGACAACATTTCTATATTCTTCCCGAGTGGTCAGACCCTTTTTCCACATTTCATGGACCACCTTTTTCCCTTTGAGTTTGCGCATGAGCTCCTTGCTCATCCACACAGGTCTCCTGCCACCCTTTCCCGATTTCTTGCTCACAGGGACGCACCGATCCTGGGCTTGGAAGAAGAGCTGTTTAAATGCTGACCAGCTCTCACAGGCCCCCTTACCTTCTAATACCCTAGCCCACAGGATAGCTCCAAGTAGGTCCCGGAAGAGATCAAAGTTGGTTCTCCTAAAGTCCAGGGTAGCAATCCTACTTTTTGCTTTGCTTCTTCCACTCAAGATCTTGAACTCCACCATCTCGTGGTCACTACAACCCAAGCTACCCCCAACTTTTACTTCCTTAACAAACCCGTCCTTATTTGTGAGAATAAGGTCCTGTAACACCCCTCCCCTCGTCGGTTCCTCCACCACCTGCATCAGAAAGTTGTCTTCGACACATTGCAGGAACTGTCTGGACCGCACGTGCCTGGTCACGTTGCTTTTCCAGCAAATATCTGGATAATTGAAGTCCCCCATAAACACCAGCGCCTGGGATTGCGACGCTACTTCCAGTTGCTTATGGAAGGCCTCATCAACCTCCTCCTCCTGATCAGGGGGTCTGTAGTACACACTCACAACAGTGTCACCCATACCAGCCTGCCCCTTGATTCTCACCCACAAGCTCTCCACTGCTGCATCACCCTCCCCCGGGTGGAGTTCAATACATTCTAGCTGCTGTCTCACATAAAGAGCAACTCCACCACCCCGCCTCGCCGGCCGATCTTTCCTAAAAAGCACATAGCCATCCATGACAACATTCCAGTCATGCGAGCTGTCCCACCACGTCTCCACGATCGCAATGAGATCATGGCCTTGTGACCGCACACAGATCTCCAACTCTTCCTGTTTATTTCCCATGCTGCGTGCATTAGTGTATAGACACTTTAGGGAAGCAGCACCCCCCTGCCCCTCTCCATACCTTTGAACTCCACCCTTTTCACCCATCGAACTCTGTTTTGAGCCACGAACTACCCGCTCAACCCCAGTGGCCCTCATTCTGTCCCCTTCCCCCTTCATACCTAGTTTAAACACCTTTCAATGAGCCCTGCCAGTTCCTGGGCTAGGATCCTCTTACCGCTTGGAGACAGGCTACTTCCATCTGCAGCCATCATGCCAGGTGCAGAGTAAATTGCCCCGTGGTCAAAAAAACCGAAGTTCCTGTGCTTGCACCAACTTCTTAGCCATTTATTTATGAGTTGGGTTTTTTGGATCCTCTCGGTATCCTTCCCTGCCACTGAAGGTATAGAAGAAACAACCACCTGCACACCCGTTCCTTCAACTACCCGCCCCAGTCCCCTGAAGTCTTCCTTGATAGACCTCAGGCTTCTCTCAGCGACTTCGTCACTGCCAGCCTGAACTATCAATAATGGGTAATAATCAGAAGGGCGAATCAGACCAGGAAGTTTCCTGCGGGTAGGGTCAGGCCGACATATAGGGCCTTCAGTTCCTCTCAGCAGGGAGTCACCTATGACAACCACCCTTCTGTCCTTCCAGGTGGAGGCAGTCTTGAGGCGTGGGGTCGACCGCTTCGCCCGAGGCAACCTCACGGGTGGACCTCCCTCCACCCCCTCACTCACCTCTCCCTCGAGATCCAGGGCCTCAAACCTATTTTGCAGAGGCACCTGGGGAGCCGAGGATGGTCAGGATGGAGGACGCCCACTTCGCCGAGCGGGTATCCTTTTCCACTTCTCCTCCTCCCTTAAATTGCCTTGCTCTGCTCTCAAATTGCCTTGCACTGCAGCAGGAACACAATCTACCTGCTGGTTCCTCTCTACCGCCTGTTTGCAAGGCGGCAGGGGGTGACACGCTCCACGCGGAGCCTCAGCTGTGTGCCAAGATCTCGGGGCTGATAGGGACTGGCACCACCAATCAGTCTCCCTCTCACATTCCTTTATGGTCCTCAGCCTCTCCACCTCCTCCTTCAGGTTGACCACAAGGCAAAGTAAGTCCTTTAGCTGGTCACATCTTACACAAGTGCTGCCTCCATCGCCTGGCACTGCAAGGGCCAGGCTCTGGCACTCATCACAGCCAGTGACCTGCACACTAGCATGTTGTTTTTGTTTTGGGGGGTAAATATGCTGTTATTGGAGATTCTGCATTACTGGGATATTTATGAAAAGGAGCTATAGAGTGGAAACAGTTACAGAGTGGAAACAAAGCTTTAGATGAAATGTAATTTCTTGTTGTTCTGTCTGTATTGGAACATTCAGATCCTGGCTGATGAGGTTAGTTGTGGTCACGAGCACTGGGAGTGCCAGCTGTGCTAGACTTTGAGGTTACTAAATAAATTTTAATTGCACAGGCATGTCTAAACTTTGAGTAAGGAAGTTACATTTGAGTTGCGTTTCCATTTTCTTCAGATATTTATTTGATTTGAATAAACTCTTGAATATGTGGCATTCAGCTGTACTAGTTCTCCTGGCATTTCCTTTTCCTGATAGAGATATGCCGTTTCATTATAAAATATTACTGCAGAATTTAAACATTTGAAATCCTTATTTTTTGCATTTGTTCCTTTTGACTGATTTCTTATATTTCTTTTCTAAAACACATGATCAGTGTATTAATATTTTCTCATCTTTTTTTTTTTTTTTTTTGTACAGCATATTGATTTTGAGTAATGTAGTCACTGGTAACTTGGGACGCAGCTATAGAGCTGTAGCTGCTTCATGAAAAAATCTTTTTGATTGGATTTCAGCATAGTTTGTCTTAAACATGCTAAAACTATGAAACTGTTTTATATGTTGCCAAAATCTGACCTATAAATGTAGCCTTCTATGACAATAGATTGATGTTTTCTATGTTTTTATATTTGTGTTGCTTATTTTCCTAAATACTGTGGATAGCTTAGTATTTCTGACTGCATACAGCATTACTGCTGTGTACGGTATGCAGTATTCCTGCATCTCAGGACCTATATTCAGTCATAATCTTCAATGTGTGGGACTTAAATTCATGAAGTTATTATTAGCTGATGTACTACTTGATTACTTGTTTTTTTCTTTTTCTGCACAGTACATAGATTACTACTTCACTAATGAAAGATTTTCATTCTAGCTGGTTTTGCACTACTTGTCAATGTTGCATTTTTTTATTTTCAAGCACCATATCACTTAACTTTCTCGTTAAGCTTTAGTTTATATACAGAACTTCCTAACTTTTAATTTTGAATATGTCCCTTTTTGTTGAATGTTGGTAGATTAAGTATTTACATTAGTTCCAAATGCTTATTACGTATTATTTTTCAATAATGAGTAAATAATAAGAATCTAAGTTAAATAACAGATCTTGTTATTTGTACATTTACTATTCCATAAAGGAACATTCTACTAAATTGATTACTGGTATATGAATCTAATTGAATCAACAAAAAAGAAATGCAGTCATGCTTTTTTTACTTCTCTATTAATTTTTATAACTATTACTTTGGTTGTTGTAACTGTCCTTTAAAATTGTCATTTTTCCAGGTTGAGACAAAGGCCTTAGGAAATTCTGGGGAGACCTGATAGCAGCCTTTCAGTATCTACAGGGGGGGCAATAAGAAGGAAGGGACAGAGTCTTTAGCAGGGTCAGTTGTGGTGGGAGAAGAGGGAATAGTTTCAGAATACAACGGAGGAGATTTAGATTGGAAACAAGGAAGAAGTTTTTTACAGTAAGACTGATGAAGCACTGGAACACGTTGCTCAGAGAGGTGGTGGAAGGCTCCTTCTTGGAGACACTCAGAATTAGGCTGGATCAAGCTCTGAGCAAACTGATGGTGCTGTAGGTATCCCTGTTCATTTCAGGGAAATTGGACTTAATGACCTTTACGAGTCCCTTCCAGATCAAATAATCATATGATTCTATAAAGTGTTATAAGACATGAGAGTGTAGTCTGTACAAGATAATGTAGCAGAAAAGAACTAATTTTTTTCAAGTACAAATACCTGTATTTGCTATGCCTGTGCAAAAGTTGCATCCAATGTGATACATTGTTGTTGTTTGGTATTGTATTGCTGATTATTTTACATGTGAGTTTCCACCTTTTTCATAAACAGCCATCATGCTGATTCAATGATATTTTCAATTATTCATTCTCACAGGTGCTCACCAAGGAATTTTACAGTCTTCAGTCCTCTAGTGAAACACGCATTATTGAACTTCAAACACAGAATTCCGAGTTTCAGGCAAGACTAGATACTTACGAAAAACTTGAAAAAGACCTTGATGAGATAATAATGCAGACAGCAGAAAGTAAGTTCTGATACAGATTAGGTCTGTAGATGTTTCCAGAATTCTGGCAGTATCTTATTTCTCACAGCACTTGGGAATTATTAGTGTCTTCTATTCTCCTTCCTCATGTCTAACAATTAAGAAGCAATAGTTATTTTGATAGAAAATACTAATGACAAGTTTCTATATATTTTTTTAAATATCTATCAAATAAACATGAAGTTAGATGTGCGGATGTTAAAAATCATCTCATTTTTTCCCCTCACTTCTCTTTTGCCTATTCTAATTATTCATTAAGATTGAGTTTGTTGGGTTTCGGTTTTGTTCTGTTTTTAGAATTCTTCTATATTCTTCTATATTCTTTACATTCTGTCCCATCCGTACTGGCCCTAGGGCCACAGCACAGGCTATCTCCTGTTTAATTTGTTCAAAGGACTGCTGCTGTTCAGGATCCCATAAGAAATTGTTCTTCTTTTGCGTCACCTGATAGAGGGGGCTAACTATGAGGCTGTAGTTTGGGGTCTGCGTCCTCCAAAAGCCCGCTACACCCAGAAAAGACTGTGTCTCTTTTTTGTTTTGTGGGTGGAGACGTAGTGGTGATTTTGTCAATCACATCTCCTAGGATGTGACGACGCCCATCTTGCCATTTTACTCCTAGAAACTGAATCTCCTGGGCAGGCCCCTTCACTTTGCTTCACTTAATAGCAAAACCAGCACTCAAAAGAATTCAAATTCTTCGCTCTCCTTTCGTGAACACTTCTGCTGTGTCGCCCCAAAAAACAATGTCATCGATATACTGAAGGTGCTCAGTGTGGTCTGGATCAGCCCATGGCAAATAGTTGGGCTGTGTTTCCACCTCTGGGGTAAACAGTTCCACGTGTACTGGAACACCCCTCCAAGTAAAAGCAAACTGTGGCCTGCATTCTGTGGCCAACAGAATGGAGAAGAATGCATTGGCAATGTCAATGGTGGCATACCATTTGGCTGTTTTTGACTCCAGTTCATACTGGAGTTCTAACGTATCTGGCACAGCAGCGCTTAGTGGGGGTGTGACTTCATTCAGGCCACAGTAGTCGACTGTCAGCCTCCATTCTCCACTGGCTTTACACACTGGCCATATGGGGCTGTTAAAAGGCGAGTGAGTTTTGCTTATCACTCCCTGACTCTCTAGCTGACAAATCAGCTTATGAATGGGGAGCAAGGCATCCCTGTTGGTGCGGTACTGCCGTCTCTGTAGTGTTCTTGTAGCGATGGGTACCTGCTGCTCTTTTACCTGTAGTAACCCCACAACAGATGGATCTTCTGACAGGCCAGACAAGACAGACAGCTGCTTAATGTTGTCTGTATCTACAGCAGCTATTCCAGAAGCCCATCGGAATCCCTTGGGATCCTTGAAATACCCCCTTCTAAGATAATCTATACCAAGTATGCATGGAGCTTCCTGTCCAGTTACTATAGGATGCTTCTACCATTTTTTTCCAGAGAGGCTTATTTCCTCCTCCAACACAGACAATTCCTGAGAGCCCCCAGTCACTCCAGAAAGATAAATCAGTTCAATCCCTTTATAACTTGAGGGCATCAGAGTGCACTGGGCACCGGTGTCCACCAGTGCTTTATATTCCTGTGGTTCTGATGTACCAAGCCATCAAATCCACACACTCCAATACACTCTATTATCCCTTTCCTCCCCCTGGCTGAAGGCAGGGCTCCTCTATTTGTTACCTGCAGTAACAGGAGCAACTTCAGTGGTGGTTGTTCTGCTTTGTGATTTTCTCACCTGTGCTCGTAATGCAGGAGTGGGTTCATCATGCCACTTCTTCATATCCTCTTCATGCTCATGTAAGTAGCTCCACAGAGTGGCACGACATGTAATTTTACTGTGGTCCTTTGCTCAAGCAGTGGGGCATCTGCCTTTGATAGCTGAGACTTTAATCAGTTCAACCAGCTCCTTCAGCAGATTCTTTTGATCATCCTGGTCTTCATTGGGTATTTCTGATACTGCCACGGGTTCATCACGATTGATCACCAAGGACAATTCCTCCCGTATGCCGTTCTGACTCTTCTCCACCTTATCTAGTCTTTCTGCCATTTGGCAGATGGCCAATATGGAAGCATGGGATGGTGGTAATCTTTGTTCCAATCTTTGAAGTACAAGAATCAGTTCAAAAATTGGGGATCTTCTACCTAAGTCTTCGTATCTATTGGTCATTTCAAACACTGAACTGGCGTACCTTTCCAGTGCTGTTTTTGTGAGCTTTCGCCATATTTCGGGTGTACTTGCCATTCTCTCGGGATCATGGTCCTGGTGTGGATCATTCGAAACAAACTCAGGATCGTACAGCATTTCAACTATGGCTATTTCTCTCAAATACTGGATGCCTTTCTCAACAGTATTGCAGCTTTTCATTCCATGCTCCAGCTCGGTTCTGAAGGGATATCTTTCCTTTACAGCTAATAGCATTAATTCCCAAAGGATGGCGACTCCGTCCAGACATCTACTACTCCCTCTGTCAATAGCTGAGTCTCGGGCGATGTTTCCTAGCAGGCAGGCTTCAATATTATTTAGGGACACGCAACCAGCCCCATTGTCCCAACAACAAAGCAACCAGGCAACAACAGGCTCATTTGGGTGTCGCGTAAACTCCTTTTTTATGCCTTGGATTTCAGTCATTTTCAGGGATTGACGAATAGTGATAACAGTGATTCCTTCCTCATCACTCTCCTCTCCATGTCTCTTACTTTTCTTGGTTGCCTTTCTTGGTGGTGGTGGTTTTGAGGAGGGTCCCTCGCCTGGATCTTCCTCTATTACCTTCACCTCTTCTTTCCATTCTAAACGTGAGAACACCCGTTTCCATTTCTGGCCTTCCACAGGGGCAGCTGACACTGATATTGGTGCCTCCTGCGATTGATCAAGATTGACTTGGAGAATACCTTGTTTGGTTCAGATCTCACTTTGGAAACTCTCCACAATGGTATTATATAGAGCTCAGTAAGCACAAGCTAAGCCCCAAATAAGCCGTTCTTCCTCAGATCTTTCTGAGCTGCACCATCCCTTACCCAAATGCTCACTTAGCTTCTCAGGGTCCCACAGGTGATCAAGGGTAAAATCCCAAGACACCAGTGGTCCCCATACTTCTAATCTCTGTCCTAAACCTCTCCATATTCCCTGCCACTCCACATTCTCTGGTTCTGGGGAAAGCTTCCTCCACATAATGTAAAATCCTATTGCAGAGAATACATGCAGAGAGATTGATAGCACAGTACCTAAGCTGGCACCCTGAACATGCATAAGGAACTGGGAAAAACACCTGGAAGCCAGTCCAAACATCATGTTGTCTGTTAGATTAGCTGGGATGTATAGGAACCAGGCAGGTATCTCCATCAGTGCCCTTAACTGACTATACATATGTGCCAATCCGAAACAGAATACGAGGAGTTTAAAAAGGGTCCAATATGTTCCAAGGAACATAAAGGTCTTTAGTCCTCTATATAATCCTCTTAAAATAAAGTAAAAAACCATAGTTGCCTGCATTCTCCACCAATAATTGTCACGGGTTATCCTTAGATATAAGTCCGTGACAGGGGAGCACAGGCCCCGGGAAGGAGAGAGGGAAGAAAAGGTACGAACGTTTTGCCGACACGGCCGGCCCCAGGCCACATGCGCTCCGGGAGAGGGGGAAGGGCAGAGAGCTAGCCGATAGTTTTAACAAAAGAAAACACAACGGCAACGATCTGAGGAGGAAGGGTAATTTACTGAATCTAACTAAACCAAACAAAACGAGAGAGACAAGAGTATCAAAAAATGAGAGTCAAACCACGATAGTGCGAGGGAAAAGCACGTGCTTTCTGTGCGGCGAGCTGAGACGGCTGATCCAGGCCAGACAGGGAGAGGCCGCCGCTCCAGTCCACAGCTCCACCTCACTGCCGCTGCCCGCCAGCTCCTTTGGGGATGCCGCCCCTTCCCGTCCCATCAGGATGCCCAAAGAGTCCATGACAGTAAACGGAACCAGAACATTAACTCATTAATTCCCACTGGTCCACATGATGTTCTGATGTGGAATACTGACAACAAAAGAAAATCATGAAACCACAACACTTGGGTAGCCTGATCTAGCGGGTGTCAACTCTGTCCATGGTTGCAGGAGTTTGAACTAGATTATTTTTACAGTCCCTTCCAAGTCATTGTATGATCACCTAAAGAAGTCAAAGTTTACAAATGCACTTGTTTATTAATATTTAACAACTGTTTGTATTCTGGTTCAGCTTGAGGAGGGAAAAAGGGATATATAATACAGTAATATTGCTTGATCAACAAGGTTCGCTGCTTCGAAGCTGTCCCAGCCAGAACCGCGGTGACAGACTGGAGGGTTTCAGTCGGTTCCTTGATCAGGGAACCCCGAGATAACAGAGCAGCCTGCTGTTTTCATGAGAGCAGCTGAGGTGAAGTGGGCATTGCCAGGGCAACGGCTCTGCATCCACGCCCCCTGCCCAGAAAAAGCCTCGGAGGAGAGGAGTCGGGTGTATGAATCACGTGGGCCATTCAGACAAGGAGAAACCATAAGCCACCCATTCATGAGACAACACAGGGAGGAGGGTTGTTATTACTGTGAAGGAAGTGGTAAGTGCAGGGGCACCTGTTAATGGGCTAGTAATGGGGCAAGGACTGTGCCAGCATTGCTGGCAGCAGGGCAGGGCTGATCTGTCACCCCATTAAGGCTACTTGAATAGTGCTGGTGAGTCTGCTGGTTTGCCATGGCTGCATCCCCGCAGAAGGCTACTGCCAGGAAGAATGTGGAGACCTAGGCTGAGGTCCCATGCACACATGAAAGGAATGCTGCTGCTAAGAAAAATGTGGAGACTCAGATTGAGGTCCCACAGCAAGATGCCGGTGCACAGGTCTCTGGCTGTAGTGAGTGCCAGAGCCTGGCCTCTGCAGCGCTAGGTGAGAGAGACAGCACTTGTGTGAGATGCGACCAGCTAAATGACTTACTCAGCCTTGTGGTTGACCTGAAGGAGGAGGT